TTCCGCGAGGACCGGGCGCACCGCCTCGACGGTCCGGAGACCGGCCGACGGGTTCGCCAAGCGGCGAGACCACGCCTCCAGCACAGACCGCCGAGATTGGAGCCTCCGCGCTCTAATCGCTCCTTCTCCGGGACGTGGTTCCCCCCTGTCGCGAAGGTCACATCGCCACGCATAATCGGCGGCGAGCGCCTCCGCCTCCAGGTCCCAGGGAGGCGTCCCGGCGAGAACGCACGCCGCCTCGAAGGAGACGGTGCGGTATCCACGGATCGCCCTGACCGCGATTGCACGCTGCGGGCGTCGCAGGGCCGCGATGTTCCTGCGAGTCAGGGCGCGGCACCACACGGGGGCCCCATATAGTGCCATGGACCGCACCACCCCCACGTAGAGACGACGTACTACTGCGTCGGGCCCTCCGACGTTTGGCAAAAGCCGGCTCAACGAGCCAGCCGTCGCCATCAGCCGAGGGACCTTAATAAGGCCTGCCGTTTTGTATGGATCAGCTTGTTGGACCACTAAAGTGGCGGATGAAAGGCGATTGCATGCAGCAGAGATGCGAATGTTGCGATGGATGTGTGGAGTAACGAGAATGGATAGAATACGGAATGAATATGTTAGATGAAGTCTGAAAGTGGCACCTGTGACAGAGAAGCTGAGAAGTGCGCGTTTGGGATGGTATGGACATGTGATGAGACGAAATGAAAATGAGGTTGGTAAGAAAATGTTAACTATGAATGTAGAAGGATATAAAGGAAGAGGTAGACCTAAGAAGAAAGACCTAAGATGGATTGCGTGAAAGACCATATGGGTAAGAGGGGAGTGAGCGAAGGAATGTATATGATAGAAGAGTATGGAAGGAGAAAACATGTTGCGCCGACCCCGGGTAACTGGGAGAAGGGCAGGATAATGATGATTAATAAAGTATAAAAGTTTAGGTTTTTACTGTCATTAAGTTATTGAATACTTAATAAAAAAACCTTTATTCTTGATATTGATCTATGGTTATTTAATCGATTCGTGACGAAGCTAATCTGTACATTTCCAGAAAAAAAAAATATATTTTAAATCTTTGCTTGGGTCTTAAAAAGTCCTACCAGAATTTAAAAAAACCACAATAATTGTTGACGTATCAACCGCAACAGTCGATTTAATACAATACAAAAAAAACAATGAGGTCCTTGAGTTTACAAAAAACAACAATGTTTACATTTTTTTGCTCACATTTCGGTTTTTAGAGAAAAAAACAAGCATAAGAACTCCAATCACTTTTATTATGTTTTGAAGTGCAACAGAAAAAAGTACAATAGAGCCTGGATTAAACTTGATTTTACAAAAAGTAATGGAGTTTTTTTTTTGTCTGTCAACGTTCGAACTATTTCGATAGCGTGCTTTATTGTTGAAAGATATTATTTAATGGTGACAGGAGAAATATTCACAGTGTGTAAGGAGTGCTATCTTAGACCTATGTCCATAGACACAGCCCATTGAGTTTCCCGCCGGATCTTCTCAGTGGGTCGCGGTTCCGATCCGGTGGTAGATTCAGCGAAGCACTGCTCTTGCTAGGGCTAGTGTTAGCAAATTGTCTCAGGTTGAGCCCGTGAGCTCACCTACCCGCGCGTAACTGGAATAGCCTTCTAGCGTCCTCCTTTTAGCGTCTTAGGCTACCAGCGGATCGGTAGAAAAAAAATTTACTCCATTATCCTCTCTCGTCTCGTATTTATTCAAACGATAGCGTCTTTAATCATTTTTGAAGACAACTTACCTTGTCATGTTAAGACCGGGCAAGTAGTGAATTCGATTACCCATCTAAGTAATTATAAATAAATAAAAAAATGCCATGACTGAGACACAAGTCTGATTTTTAGTAGAAATAGAAAGTGTCTATGATCAAAATACAGATATTGCGTTTTGTTTGTCTGCTAAAGTAATAACATGATGTTTTCGTTTTTTTTAATTGCATTAAAAAGTTTTGTTTACGATAATATTCAAAGTTTCCCACCCGTAAGCCGAATCGTTTTCCTCAATACGTCATTGAACTTCAAAACATAATCTTTATATTATATAAAAATGAATAGCTGTTCGTTAGTCTCGCTAAAACTCGAGAACGGCTGAACCGATTTGGCTAATTTTGGTCTTGAATTATTTGTGGAAGTCCAGAGAATGTTTAAAAGGTAGATAAATATGAAAATTGCTCGGAATTAAATAAAAATAACAATTTTGTTTTTCTTTTGATGTGTCCCCCGTCGGGCCGATTTCTTTTGTTTGTTTTAAGTTTATTTTATACAAAAGTTTAGGTCTTTTAGGCTTAGTTTATTTATCGATTGACGCACTACGAAGTCTGCCGGGTCAGCTAGTAGTGTATAAAACCTATTTCAATACAATGACGAGGCAATTTCATTCTTTCAAACAGAACTACAGTACTACTGATAAAATCTGGCCACGTTCCGCTGTGAGGATCGCCAAATGTGTGTAAAAAAATCCAATTTTCATCATACAAAACTTGTTTTGACAATTTCAAATGCAACGAACAAATAATTAAGCCGTGAAAACCAACACAATCCGTTTTTGTATGCGCGGCCATATACTTTTTTTAAGGGATTTTATGACCTGGTAACTAAGATCTTTAGGTCAAGTCTTATTTTAATTTTAATGATAACTTTTTATATGTAAAATGATATTATGAAATGAAATGAAGTTGATTATTATGAAACATGGCATGAAATGAAATGAAAACGAAATGAAATGAGATGATATGGGATGAAGTATAATCTCAGTAAAATTGTGGTCATTTACTGAGCCTTTTTTAAAGGACTTTTTGGAAGATCCTGAGAAGTTACGTTCAGCAACTTTGTTTCATTTTCCCACATTGGTGCACTTTCACAGATACTAAATAGTTAATAAACCACCGTTATTACACATTTAAATCTGAAGAAACACTAATTAGACAAAATAAAACAAAATCATACAATTTCACTCCTCGCGTTCCCGCCAAAAAGTCTCGTATACGCGGCCATTTAATTTATTGTGTTGCCAAGTGCGAAATGTGAAAATACAAAATAACGTAGGAAAAAAAAAATATGTCGTTCCAGGTAACGTATGCCACTTATGAGCATGTTTTTTTTATTATGCCATAAAAAATCGTCATATTTTATATTTAAGTAATTAGGTTTCTAATTATTATAATTGAAAAATAACAATTACATAAATAATCCAGTATAGAATATTTGCTCTGTCGTAAATCTAGGGGAACAAAACAGTAGGCAAGGTTTACAAAATTTTTTTGTCCTTGTTAGCAGATGAACATACGGCCCAACTGATGGTGATTGGTTACTGTCACATGAACGTCAGCAATGCCAGGGGCACAGATAAACCGCTGTCTCATGCTGATCATTCTCCACAAACCTCGTTTGAAGAAGGGCATGTCATAGCGCTCGGGAAACACCGTGGAGGGGAGTTAATTCCAAAGCCGGATGGTTCGTGGCAGAAAGTACATATCATTGGAAACACACTGTGGATGAAAGCAGCGGTTCGGGGTAATGCGGATGAACTCTGCTTCGGCGGCGGGCGGTGTGATAACAAAAAACAGATGGATAGACTATCTCGAACAATTCCTCAGAGCACTCCCCATGGAACATACTGTCTTCTCGCATTAAAACGGTATAATCTCAAAACTTAGTAATTTTACAGGAGAGTGTTCTAAAGGTTTAAAATATGTGATATTTTTAATATTAATCATCCTTGCAACATTTTTATTTTATTTTTTACCAGTTACATTATCTGTTAATCTATCTTATAAAGTAAGTCAAAATTATGTATTAATTTTGTTAATAGTAGTCAAAACGTAGGTAAACTAAAAATAAAACTAAAACTAAACTACGCTCTTTTGACAGTATTTATGAGAAAAATACACTGGTGATACCAAATGATTCC